AGATTATATATATATATATATATTTGTTTTACAATTTGAAAATATGTAAAATTTTTATAGAATTGCTTTACCATAACATTAACATTACATTTAGATGCAACACACCTGTTCTTAATGCATTATTATCTGTATTGATCCCCTCTTTTGGCGATTCATCAGATATCAGTTCTTGTTGTCGAGCCATAGCCATATTAATAATGGACTCCCACTGGAAAGTTTTAGAGTTTATATTTATTAGAGTTTGAATCAAATAAAGATAAGATAAACAATAATTTTAATATATTTTTATGAAAATATATATTTATTTAACCTATAAGATTTCATATGATTAAACTTTTGACTATAATTAACATTTTGATGATTTATAAATTATGACTAATATTAAAATGGAAAAAAAAGGTTTATTTTAACATATAAAAATTTCTCAAATGCAAATATAAAGATTTGTATGATGATAAGTATAAAAAAAAAAAGGATTATATATATAATGATTTGAATGTATGAATTCTATTACAACAGACTTTTAAAAATTATTTTTATTTTTGTTCTGTATGAATGATGAAAATTTTTAGAACTAGGAATTGAGTAAACAGCAGTTTGATTAGGTAAATTTAAAAATGATAAGTTTTAATATTGCACCTAATACATTTAGTCTGTTCTTATCACAGTAAACTAAATCTACATCTATTAAATAAAAAGTAATGTCTTCAAAAAATTTATAAAGTCTGAAATTACATGAGGAAATACTGATTAATTTTTCTCAATAATTTATGTATTTACAAAATATTTTAAATTTAATATTCAAGTACATTTAATAAATATTTTTAGAAAACTTTCTTTTACTGTAGCTATTTCTTATATTATTTTTAATTAATTAATTAATTTTGATTTATAATATCTTTAATAAATTTTTTATAATGATACTTTTGCAAAAGTTGAATAAATGACAATTGTCAACTATAAATCTGTTTAATATTTAATTTGTGGTGTTTATTTTTAGTGCAATTCAAATGATAAACACAAATTTTTTTAAGTAAAAGATACTGATTACAGAAGTAATCCATTGAAATATAATTTTTAATATTCTTTTTAGTTATAAAAGTGTAGATCAGTTTGAAGCATCTTGATTTTATTTATTTATTTTTCTAAAAATTGTTTATTTCTAATAACTTGAAAATATAACATTAAGGAAATTGTTCGGTATAATATATTTTGATATTATTAAAATATTATTTTATAAAATAATTATAAATAAACCTTTACAAAATAATATTACTTTAAAAATTTTTTTAAATTAATCTTTTATTTGTAATTAATAATTATTAAAAAGCTACATATGAATTATTATATCTTTTTCTGTATTTATCCACTAACAATGTGGATAAATACATAAAAAATAATATTTCATATTTAGCCTTTTGATCATACCCATTATGGGTTCAGCCAAGTAGTGAGGGATGGGCTTAACATAACATACCTTGACTGCTACACTTATATATACTGTATATTGTTTTTATTATACCTGTACTGATTTGGATTAAACAAATGAAAAAATTTCAGAAAATAAATAGAAAAAATTTAATTTATACAAATTATAAAATATCTTATGATATAAAACTGCAAACTCTACAGTTTCTTTAGATTAATAATTGTAAAAACTAAAAGAACAAACAATGTTTCCTTAAAGAAAAAGTTGAGAATTTTTTTATAATATGGTAACTGTTACATTAGAGGCAAATTATCAAAAGAATATAATAGCTTATCAATTTTGTCAATATTTATTTAGAATAAGGAAAATTTAAAAAATTATTTTGATGCCATCAAAAGTATAAAAGAAACAAAGGAGAATGAACAATCTATAAAAAGGCAAAGAAAGTTACATCAAATAATTTTAATTGAAGCATGAGTGAAGAAAACAGCAGATAAGAATCTTAAGAGTTTTTGCTTGCTAATTAGGATAAAAAAAATACAATACAAAAAAAATTAAAGGCAAAATAACAATATAAGTTGCACTATATTATTTTACTGTTTTTCAATACATTAAAGTCTTATTACACAAAATATCATTTATGATTTGTAAAAACCCATTATGCTGACATTTTATTCTATTCAGAAATATAATTTGTTTATGTTGTTATATTAATTCATGTAACAATCATTTGATTATTATAAAAAAAAGCACAAATTCTTTATTAACATTTTTAGAGTTTGAATATGTTTTCCTAATATTTCTAAATCTTTTAAATAGTTTATTTCATTTATATGTATGTAATTTTAATAAACACTTGTCATATCTACATCTAAATGAAAATTCTGGATAATTTAATTTTTATAATAATAATATTAATTAAACTTTACTGTTTAGAGGTTATAACATTACCATCATCTGTTATAAGTCATATATGTATAGCATATATGCTAACTATTCATAGTGAAATTTAGAAAACAATGTCAATGTTCTGATAAAGGTTCTTGCAGTTTTTTGTATTTGCATAAAGAATAATCTGATATAATTTTTCACATAAAGTGACAAGAGTTCAGAAATAAACTTGTATATCATTTTATTGAAATAGCTTTCAAACTTTAACAGTACTCATTTTAAAAATACAATTATATAACACTATTTATAATTTTAAAATATGTATAAATTTGTATTGAATACACAAAAAATTTTTTAATTAAGTAATTTTTGTTCTTTTGTAATTTTAAAAATAAACTAAGGAAAAGAAACATTTTATTTTTATTTATTCTTCTTAATTTTTAACATTTTAAAATAAAATTCTAATTATAAATTTACTGATAAGAAATGGTTAGATTTTACTATATTTTATTAATTTATAATAGATTTATGATTAAGTATTGTATTTATTAGTATTTCTATCTATATTTCAGTTTATGGCATCTGATGTTGCCTTCCAATCTCTCTCTATCCATCACCATTCCTCTTTAATCCCTTTTTCACTACATGCTAACTTTACTCTGTTGTACCAAGTTTGTCTAGGTCTTCCTCTTTTTCCTTTTTTTGTGGATTGTATTCCATTGACATTTTCGGCAGTCTCTCGTCACTCATTCTTTTCACATGTCCAAACCAAATAAGTTGTTTCCTCTTTATTTCTTCCAAAACCGTCTCCTTCAATCTGTCTCCAAAAATCCCATTAGATCTTTGATTCTCTCATTAGTTATTCTTTCTCTTTTTGAGATTCTGCACAATCTTCTCAATGCATCCATTTCAGCCATTGTTACTTTTCTCTTCTCTTCCCCAGTCATTCTCCATGCCTCCACCCCGTATAACAGAATGCTTTTAACAATAGCATTACATATTCTTTTTTTCTTCATCTAGTTATTTCTTCATTTTACCATATTCCATTTAATCTTTTAACTGCTCTCTTACCTTGTGCTAATCTTGTATTAATTTCTAATGTATCTCTTCCATCTTGATGAATTTGTATTCCAAGACAATTGTAATGTTCATATCCCTCAATCTCTTCTCCTTCTTCCAGTTCCATGTCTGTTTTAGCTCCTCCTATGCATAAATATTTTGTTTTACTCATGTTTATATATAAACCTCCTTTAAAATATTCCTCTTTTATTTTTCTTGTCATGTATTCTAGATCATCCTTAGCCTCTGCCATTATCACCTGATCATCTACAAATTGCAATATAAATTCCCATATTACAACATTTCCTTTTCCATATTTTCAATACTCTTTGTATGTAGATTTTAAATAAAGTTGCTGAGATACAACATCCCTGTCTTAGTCCTTTTGATACCATAAATCCTTCTGATACCATAAATCCTTCTGATATTAGTTTTCCAATTTTTAATTTCATTATGGATTATCTATATAATTCTTTAACTGCTTTAATAAATGTGTTATTAATATTTATCTCTTTTAATGTCTCCCATAATTTTGATGTTGGGACATTATCATATGCTTTCATTAAATCTATAAACAACAAATGAGTTTCCTGTCCTGTTGCTAATCTTTTTTCCATAATCTGTTTTATACAGAAAATATTGTCCATACACAATATTCCTGTTCTGAATCCACTCTGTTCTTCTTTTTCTTTTGTTTGATATTCTTCTTCAATTAGATCTCTTATTATTCATCCATATAATCTATTAAATGTTGCTGTTACTGTAATTCCTCGATGGTTCTCACATTTTTGTTTATCTCCTTTTTTATAGATAGATATCATAAAGCCAATTTTCCATTCTTTTGGAATGTCTTCTCCATTAAGACACCTTTTGAATAATTTTGTTGTCATTCTAAATAAATTTTCTGCTCCATTTTTTATCAATTCTGCCGGTATTCCTCCAGGTCCACTTGCTATATTATTCTTCAGTTTCTTACATGCTTGTTAAATCTGTTTTGTCTCTAAATGAATTGATATATCCTTTTCTATGTTTATATCTTCTGTCATAAATTGAATTCTATCTTCTGTTAATAAATTTTTATAATATTCTTCCCATTGTTTAACTGAGATAAACTGTACTTTATTACTATTACTTTCATTTCTAATATTTTTTTAGGAATTAGATGAACAAATTTTGTACTGCAAGAAAAATAAGGTTATTGAGTTCGAATATGAAAGGTTTGAATAAGAAACCGTTTTTTTGATAATGTGAATGTTAGGCCTGCACCCTTTCTCCTACAAAAAATAAAAATCACACTGGAACAGAAAGCTCCAGGAAAATGAAACCAGATTAATTATAATTTATTAGTACTTGATTTACTAATTTGTTGAAAATATATATTTTTTCAATATTACAAAGAAAATGATTATTTTAATGAAAGTAAAATTCTGATACTTTTCACATTAAGAGTAGATTTAAACAAGAATTAATATATTACACATAATATATATAATTTAATATATATATAATAATATGTAATTAATTAAACATTTTAAATTCCAGCCAAACCTCTGTATAACGCTCTCCTAGGTAGTGTCACCCCCATAAAGTGACAATGAATATTCCAAACGAATCTCCATAAATATTAAAAAACACCTCACTATTTGTGAATTGATAAATGTACGATTGTGCATTGTAAACGACATTATCAGTAAATCACGTGTCTTTCAAACTCCAACTCATTTTAGATCATCTAAGGCACTTTGGTTTAGCACCGCATTTGATTTAGTAAAGTACAGTACCTATTTAAGATCAATGGAGTTCGCTAAATAGAGGTTTGACTATACAGATTATCATATTTTTACGAAAAGAAATATATCAACGATATACGCAGTACTGTATAGTCAACAATCCAAAAAACCATTCAAACCTCGTTATTACGCTATCTGTTTATGCCAAGTCTGCTTTAATGCGAAGTAGATTTGACGAGGGAGGATAGGCATTTTAATGCTGATGAGTTCGGTTAATTAATTTAAAGTGTCAATTCTTAAGTCTCTTCGACTTTGTATTGAGTGGTTTTGACTACGTCAATATCGGCTATATGTCGGACTTAATATCGTTTGTCCTAAGCATTATCTATTCGTTTTATTAACAGGTAATATTTAAGTATATCCATAAAAGGAGCTAAGGTATCAAACTATTGACAAAGCCAAGAGAGTTGGTAGTCTACTGCCCTGGGGATCCGGTATCGATTCCTGTCGGATCGAAAAACCCCAGATGTTTTTCTGGTTGATCCTGTCCCTTGCCGCCCGGCCGTCCGTTGTGGACCTGGCCGAATCTATAACGGGCTTGCTAAAAAGTGGCCCTCTTAGAGCCCACAGAACGGAAAGAGTTAAAAAAAAAAAAAAAAATAGGGCCGGCGCGAGGCAAGTTCAGCGCGTTTCCAGGAATCTGGCCCGAGGTCTACGAAAAGCTCATCGTAAATTTTGCGATGTTCTATGTAAAATATCTTACATAAGCTATATAGTATAATTCGACTGCAGAATCTTAGTTTATTTTCTTAAGTACATAAAAGTAAAAACATAATTTATGTAGTTTATCCTAACTATAAGTGGTATTTATGTATTTGTTTTAGTCACGTTCCTGAGTTTTAGATTTAGTTTCGGTTTTGGTTTTATCACTAAAACTATATTTGGATGACTAAAACCAAGGTTTATATTTAACAAATGTACTCATACTTTGCACTTCTAAATTATATAATATTAATTCTTTTGACTCCTCAAAAGTTCACGCTGGACCTGTAGATAGGCTGGCCATATCATTTACAATTCAACCGCGGGGACACGTTTTAGAATCGGCGACAATGGGATCTAAAACTGATCGAACATTGGTTATTTTTGAAACGTTATTATCTATTGATTATAAATTGGTGATATTATATTGGTGTGCTAATAAAATTACTCTAGTCAAAGATTAATTCTATAAACAAATATTAAAAATAGGCAAAACCGGGAACAGTCTCCGGAAATCGGGGACATTTCGTTACCCCACTGTAGATAGTTATACTTTTTTCATTAAAATTCACTGTGGAAAATTAATTTTGAATAAATTTTTATTAGTATATTTATAATACGAATTTAATAACAACCGAATCATTTTGAATATTCCGTATTTTACGCAAAAATATCTTTTGAACACCTGAGCATATGCTGTACATTACATATATGTTATGTAACTAGGCATTTATTCTCTATCAACTTTTATAGAGGAATAATCTGAAACGAGTTTCAAGTTAAGCTAGCAAATATCCTAAGCTACAGAACAAGCCGATAAATGAGAAACTAGACTGAGCGAGGTGTAGACACGCAATAACACTTCACATCAATTTACTCGCCACGTGTCCTGCCGAGATATAAGGCACTCACTCGATGTGTCACGTGAACAAAGATAGGAAGAGGTTTATAGATGGTCTTATTTATCGATTTTATTCCCGAACGAATACTTCAAACATGTAATCTTTCTTACGCTGATTTATCGTCGATTTGACATTACAAAATCCACAACAGAGTATTTTCGTATGATAACTACCCACTCAAATGTATGAACATTCCAGTTCCAACTTCTAAAACTTCTTTTATGTATATACAGATTATAATAACATTAAAATGAATCGAATAATGTTTAATAATAATAATACAATACTGTATGCATAATATAATGGAAACAAAAATATAATCTTATCCTTTTTTTCTTTTATTTTCTTGATTCTCCTTCATTCGTGTTTTGCATAAACAATATTTCCAATTGTAATTGCTAATTGTATTTGTATTGATCATAATTCAATCCACCTACTATATTAATTAAATATAGAAATCATATTTTCGAATAAATATTGATAAAAAAATGTAGTTTCAACAAAAACTATATTAAATAATTTATATTTGTGTCGCTCGATAAGATTGCCATGAATGATTTAGGTTCGAATTCTGATCTTTGATGGATAATTTATTTATTTATTTTTTGCTTTAACCCATACTTGTCGACCTTACTGCGAATTAGGCCCGCCCGTAATTGGCAAAATTGAGGCCGGTTACAGAATTTATTGTGCGCTGGTTCTTCGCAAAAAAATTCAATCTGAACACGTACCTATACAATCTATCATTTTGACAAGAATTGTTAAAATAATGACTAAAAAATGTTGATAGTAAATTTAGGAAATGCATTTCTTTGTATTTTATTACCGTATATTGTTATGTTGTATCATCAAGTACTGTACGTAGATATAAAATAATAATCTTAATTCACGCACATCTGATTATTCTTACTACTGATATTTATATTTAAATTTTAAACTATTAAAATTATTTTAGAAACAAATTATAATTATTCTGTAAAGTACAAGAACTTACACTTTAAATACATCTAATTAAAATTACCAATGTACAAATTTAATCACTTCTTTTTTATTTGAACACTTTTAATGTTATTGAATTATATATAAAGTATATGCATATTTAAATATTGAAATAAAGATTATTAAAAATAGTTTCCACAAAATTTTAAATAAATATTTTTCCACAAGAATGCACGTTAATTAAATGAATCGTTAATAGAAGAAATGATATTTTCACAATCATCTTTGAAATTGAACACATTAAGATTTAATAACAATAATAAGCATTAAGGCAATTTCAGTTTTTGGTAAAATTTTCTATTTTCTAAGTTTTTCCAATGGTAATTCCCACAGCTCAAAGAAAGGATTTTTAATAAAAATTAATTTTTCTAAGCCATAATTTAAGGATATTTTTAACTTGGAAAAATGAATAAAATTATAAGTGACACTGATTAAATTTTGTTTGAAAGTGAAAATGGAATCAGGAAGGAAAGTGAAATTGATTCAGAAGTGAAATTTAAGGTATAATACTATTGAAAAAAGACAATAAAATTACCAAAAAAGGAAAGAAAGAATGAAAGAAGATGATGGTTAAAGATAAAATTAACATTAAAGGATAATAAGAGAAATTCGCTTCACTTCCTTAAATTTGTGTAGTTTTTTTTGGATTGTAGAGTAGAGAATTAGTTACAGAATTGGATGCACACAATTCACTATTTTATCAGCTTGTTCTAGAGTTGCTCCACCCAATTGGAGTGCTTGTTGTGTGCTGCTTCTTCCTTCTCTCAATAGACACTGTAATTAACAAATGGAAGACGAATTACTGTGCAAGTACTGATCTCTTTTGTCAGCTCTATTATTTTGTTAAAGTACTCTTTTTTGTGGTAACGTCAATGGCGATGCAACGTCATCATTACGTAAAATATTCATCTGCTTATTTCTAAGCTTTTAATTGAGAAAATTCGTGTGAAATCGTAATTATTTTTCTGAAGTTTTATCGAGTGATAGGTATTTGTTTTCGTGTGTTACACGTGTGTGATGTATCGAGGGTAGTCTTCGATGACGTAGTTTGATGGAAGAGTTGGATATTCACTCGTTTTATGAGTTAATTTATTGTGCAGATTATTGTAGAGATTTTACTCCTTAATTCTATTGATAAATCCACTTTTTCTTCATCTAAACGGATGCCGGAGCGGTCGTATAATATAGATGATATAACGAAAAATTTGCATATTTTATCTGTTGCATAGGAGAAAATCGATAGTAAAATTAGCCTAGAAATCGTGGGAACAATAAAATGCTTGCAAACAAATAACTGGAACGAGATGAAGCGAATGCTATCAGATGACTCAACTTATACCGGATGTAGGACGAAAGCTCGATCGAGGTCTTCAACGGAACCGGAAATGGCCTGTTAAATTCTACGTCACGATCATACGCGCTTCGATCACGTGACGGGCCCGTTTCTTATCATCGTCGATCGATGATTGGCCTTCCCGTCATGCGTTCAGAACATCTGCTGCAAGTCGGGGACTATAGACATGTGCAGGACATGAGCGGTAAGTTTTATTTCAGAGAAAAATATGTAAGTATCTACAGATAGGTGTGGTACATAAATGACAACAGGCGCATTCCCACAGAATCAATCCCATTAATGCGATACGTGATACCTTTTGTCACGTATCACGTCAGCCTGAAACCGAATCCAAAGCTTCTGTCGTGCGATCGTGTTTCCCCACCCAAACTTAAACCTATCATTTGCTTTCAGTTGTCCATACTTTTGTTAAGTTCAGTTCGATTTTGGGCACTTCTAAGCTGCCAAACAACCAAGAAAAATTCATTTCTAGAAGTTTTCTCTCTCTGGAATCTTTCTTCGCGAAAAATCTTCTCTGGTTTTATAGGAAATATCAAATTCTTTCGTGCCACTTTCTCATCTAACTTACTACAAAAAAGGGCAGTTGCAGCTTAATTATGAGGCCCCGTTTAAGGTTGAAAAAAAGGTTTAGATAGAAAACATGTTTGCTTTGTCGATAGTCTTCACAGATGTAAAACTAATCTAAGAAATTTTATTCTCGATTTATGTATAATTTGGTACGAGTTTAATGAGGTAAACCTTCAGAAATCCAGTTGCCATCGTTGACAATTGCTACAATTCAACATTAAATTTTCTGGGGGAAAAGGTGCTTTAAATCGAAGTTTTTAAGCGAATTTAACATTTTAAATGGTCAAAATTCAAATTTTTGCAAAAATTATTCAAATTTTTTCGAAAATTCGGCTATAAACCTGACTTTTTCTTCACAATCATTCGGATTTTCGTGACCCGCTTCCAACTATTCAAATATATAATTAAACCAGCTTTAAATTAAATTTAAATTAAAAATTAAAAATTCACAAATTTTCTTATACGAAATAGCGAAAGAATAAGCAAATTTAAAAGAAAATATTCATTATTCCTAATGATAATTGAATATATTTACGTATTGTTTCGAATAAAATAACATAGAAGAGGCGGTAAAATTTCTTTTGTTTTTATCCTCCCTCCCTCTAAAATCAATTTTCTTTGGCCCTATAATGTGATAGTTAAAAAGTAAATCCTCTTTAACACGCGGCTTCCAATAACATTCTGATGATTTTGGTGATAAACAAGAGCATCACCCCCCAGACAAAATGACAGATGTTGTCTTCTATTAAAATCTTTTATTGTCCGTTTGCTAACGCTTAATAAATTTCACTTGTCCTACAAACAATGCTCTGATGAATGAAGTGAATGAATAAAGTAAATTACTCTAAAAGTGATTAAGAACGAACATGTTTCGTGTGCAATTGGGTAAGTTGGAAGTTAGTACAATAATTGTTCTGATTAAATTAAATTTGTCCTCCGATTGTTCCGGAATGAATAATATTGGATGTTATATAATGATTATTCTAGCAATGTAACTATTAAAGTTATGCTCTCCTCGTTTGTGAGAATTTAATAATTTATAAAGT